GAGATATCAATAGGAAAAGAGACTGCCGAATCAAATGCACGATGATCATGTTTACATCGAAGGAATTGGGCCGCAGCCGCTGTCAGCTCTGCATATATTCACTTGATTCCATGTATTCATATCCATATAGAACACACAAAAAAACTCTCTATACAGTTGAAGATACAGTACCCAATTTACAGTTTTACATATCCAAGAAAATTCTTGAGCAAAGAACTTTTCTTGATCCAAAACATCAGCTACAATCAGGTTGAAGCAGTTGCACTCACCTTCGATGGCCGTTTTAACACTGAGTGGAACATATGGCCTGAGATTCAACGACCTAGTGAATGGAATCAGCAGCTCTTGAATTTTTGCATCGGGGAATGGACGAGCTCTCCATGAAATTGGCGAGGAACGCGACACGACCGTGCCTCGGACCGCGTCTCTTCCTCCCACCGTCTCCGTCGAGAAACTAAGAAAATGGGAAGAAATGGAGAAGAAGGCCACAGGTACGTCCTCGTAAATCGGAACGGTGAAATAAGATGGGCCCGTTTGGGCCTCGTAATAGGTCAAATACTGGGCTGAGCCTCGGCCTCGTTAAGACACTGATCACGAGCAGTGACCGTCTCCGGGGAGCTAGGGTTCGCCATGGTGGAACCTTCCAATAACTCAGACCTTGAACCTGACAATCCCAACAGCACTGCTCCGAATTCCGACGGCCCAACGAAGATCTCATCATCCGTCGCCATGGATTCTTCTCCTGTCACCCCAAGCCGACTTGTCTACGTACGTCGACGGCTCGAGAATAATCCCAATTCATCGACCGATTCCCAATCCAAGCAACCAACCGTCTCCGGTGTTCCTCCACCTAAGACTGAGCTATCACCCCCGCCGGGATCTCTCTCCGGTGGGTTAGACTGGGAAGACCGATACCATCAGCTTCAAATTCTTCTGAACAAACTCGATGAATCTGATCCCAAGGATTATGTTCAGAGTATGTATGCCCTTACACCTTCTTCCCCTTCCGGGCCTTTACTCTGATTTCGACTGTCTTAAATTTTTCGCTGTGTTCTGCTATCAGTGCTTCGATCTCTTCCCTCTCTCGACCTCAGCAGACATGCCGTTCAGTTGGAGAAGAGATCTATTCAACTCTCTCTCGAGGAAGGTAACATACATTACAACGCCACCAAGACACACAGTCTTTGTGATGTTCTCTCGCTGAAAGCTGTCTGAATGCATATACACGTACTGATGTTCTCTCGCTGAAAGCTGTCTGAATGCATATACACGTACTGACTGTCTCATCATGTGTTCGTGAATCATGGCTTCAGCGAAAGAGATGCAGCGTGTGGCAGCGTTAAATGTTCTTGGAAGGTCATTGAACAATGATCAAAATTCTCCACCAAATTCCAAAGGCTAGATCCATGTAAGTGCCTCTTTTCATCTCCTTGTTTATGATCTCGCACTCGCAATAAATACCGGTGTTCATATCAAAAGACATCCATCCGTCTTAAGATTCAACACAAAGCAGAGGCCTGCCCGAGAGGTTCCCATTTGGTGAAAGATGGAATGCAAAAGGGGACGGGTAATTTCATTGCCGGCTCCTATTTTTTTGCGATCTTTCCATGTGAATTAAACGGCAAGTTTATCCAAAGTTGTGTTTATTAGGGAAAAGAAAAAGAAGAAGAAAATGGTTTCGTGAGCTGCTGTCCTGTGATCACTCTGCAGTCATATCCCCCCATCATCCGAATGTGTGTTTTGAGTTGGATATTCTCCCACGAGTTTGGAACTTGCAATGCTGTAATAGATTCTCCCAACTCCTGTGATTAGCTGTCGCATCTTATCTGGAATCTATCACGTCTCTACGTATTAAGGAAGGAAACACCCACCGAATGTGCATATAGATTCAATCAGAAGCGCATGTATACAAAAAAAAAACTTGATTTAATTCCAAATCACTTGTTTGTAATAAACACTTGAATTGTGTAATAGCTCGGGGGGAAGAATATTGATTGGTAACATGAAATATAATACAATATCAAGACCAGGTCACATATCGATGATGATTTATATATATATTGTCAACGAAACTCGAATAGACTTGTACCGGTTAAGTATTTAAAAGGGTTTCGTGAAGTCATCCACTTATTTTATATACACTCTACTTTAAAATTTAATAATTTATCGTCATTGCTAAACCACCTCCAACCCAACTTCTATAGAATCTATTTTTTTCTCAACCAGTTTGCCTTTTTTTTAAAAAAAAAAACGCATATTCCAATAGAATTAAAAATAAATAAACTTTCTAGTTGTCAAGGTTCCAAATGTTGCAAACACGAGTAACATATGTATGCAAAGGATATGACTTGCCGAAAGATAATGCATCGTAAAATAATACATGTGAAAATTCAACTATCATCATTATCTGTTCCATTAAACTAAAGACTCAACTCAACACATATATCTGATCTATCAATACAATTTATATGGATGCGGAGAAGACCAATAAATAGTAACATAAATTTTTATTGTAGCATATCATGACCATGAAAAAGAATCCCCAAGTAGCGGGGTTCTTGCCAAATAAAATATTGAGACATAATTCTCGTTTCTTTGATTAATATATAATATTGGCACTGGAAGAATAAAATAAAAGGGTGCCGCTGATGTCAAATTCAGAAAAATTCATAAATAAATAAATAACCCATCATAGGGACCACCATGGCACACGAAGTAATAATGAGATTAATTAATAAACGTACAGAAAATAAAATTATATATGTTAGTTTAGTTGGATGGGGGCCTTAGGGAACACACAGCTTTTGTGCAGGGCACGTAACTGCAGCAAATATTAAACAAAAATAGTTCGGGGATGAAAAGAAAATCACATTCATATATATATATATATACACACACACACACACACTCGATTTAATCATAGACGATTAAATTTTTATATGATTTTATCAGACTTTCGAATTTTGTGTTCTTTTATGCAAAGATGCATGGGACTGGTCTTTGAATAATAATAATAATATTCCCTTTTAAATTTTTTGTTTTGTCTTTGTGTAAATTTTCTGTGAAAGAAATTAAGGGCCAATATATGTATTCTCTTTTTTGTATTGTTTCTGCCTTGATGTTTTCCCCCATGCAAAAGATGTGAAAAAAAAATATGTATTATATTGATATGATCGAAAGATGTGAAAAAAATATATATGAAAAAACTGTTATTATCGAAAGATATAAATCTTTAATTATACAAATGAACCCTTGAATATTGGATTTTCAGTGAAAATAAAATGTATTAGTTATCGATAAGAGTAACGAGGAAAAAACCACAAAAACTAAAACTTGAATTACTCTCTCTATTACTAAATATTTATGGTTTTGGAGAATATTTTTTTATTATTTAATATATATCGTTTTCTATTTTTTAAATGATTTTAAAATATTTTCAATTTTATTCTTTATTAAAAAAATTCAATTTTTAAAGTATTAATGATAACATAATTTAATTAGGGTATATATGATTTATTTATATTTTTTTAAAACTACATATATTTTAGATCCAGTTTACATGCATTTCACAATCTTTAAAAAAAAATTTCAACTGTCACGAAATGATATGAAAATAGCGGGGAATTGCATTTGGAGATTCGGTGAATCTCCAGGAGATGTAAATGCGCTTCGGGTTCCAACATGACATCATCGACACAATCTCTTTGGAATCTTTCGTTGGATTTACTTTGGGGTTTGGTATTAATTAAAAAAATAACTAAAAACAAAAACCCTAGCGAGCCCCGGCTCTTTAACAAAGCCAAACCTACTAAACTTCGTAAATTGCATTTGGACCACCGATAATGATTTAATTTATTTAATTTAGTCATATATTACACTATACAAAATTGTAAATATTACGGCCTACACGCAATCGGGGGGGGGGGGAAAAAAAAAGTGGAGTGAGCTCCGACTGTCTGTGCATTTGCTCAAGTGCCACAGATTGCAACGACGAGAACAAAAGATTGGTCCGACAAAAGCCAGAAAGAGTCTGGTTCCAGTTGTTTAGTTCGGTCCCAAATCTGACCTATTTCTTATCGTCTTCTCTTCCTCTTCTTCTTGGTATCCGTACCTCCTCCCCCTCTTCTTCTTCTTCTTCTTCTTTAACTCTTTCATAAGAATGGATCTGACCCTGCAAGCAGATACCCACCATCGCTGCCCCTTTCGATCTGTTTCTTTCGACCTAAATCATGATCAGAGAAGCAGGAAAGAGATCTTGAAGATCGTCTGGATAATATGACGTACGGCCGGCCTTGGTGGTATCCACTTAGCGCAGAAGATGGATAGATTACTTACCGAAGTTTCCTCTCCAGGTCTCTTCTTCTCCGCCTTCTTTCCCTCTTTCATCACCACACTTACAGCAACATTCAGATATTGTGACTGATCTCGTGTATATATTGATGTAAACCAATGGTGGAAGTAAATTTATCAACTTTAAAAGCGCATTGAATTTGGAGAAAGTGGTAACTAGAGGGGGGGGAGGAGGTGCTGATTCTGACAACTGTTTCTCGGCGTCCGCATTTGGGTATTCAGACACTGGCTCATATGTGGCAGTGTGGCCACTTGAGAGTTAAAAGTGAAACACCAACATGGACTGGAATCTTTCCACTTTGGTTTCTCCAAGTGACATAATCGGTTTCTGATTATTCGTAGCCGTCGTGTCACAGCACTGTTGGATCACTGCTCAGCATTGACTCGCTCTCCCATCTCTTCTCTTGCATCATATTTATATATATCTATATATATATATATATATATGCTCCTTCAAATTAATGAAAACGTAAGCAACCTTTGGAGGGCTTCAATGGTTGCATACGTGACAGTGTTTATAAAAGGCATACAAGAGGCCAATTCATCATCACACCTGACTCATATATTCGTATAAGGTGTTTGGTTTGGTCGCCGGCCTTTGATCTAGGGAATTCATGTAGTAACTTGGGACCTAACTCTCAGCAAAATGCCGCCATGTCATCATCGTCGACAGCTGCAAGACCCAGCAGCAGCGTCGGAGGTGGCGGGCCATCTCCAAGCCATCTGCAACTCCCACGGCCTGCCACTTGCCCTGACGTGGGCCCCATGTCTCCACCATTCCGGCTGCATCTCGCCCGTCCATTCCGCCTCCTTCGCAGCTGATCATGACAGCCGCTGCTTTCTCGCAGCTTTCTCCGACCACCATCTGCTTTCCGCGGCAGACAAAAAACGCTGTTTCACGACGGAAGTCGCCGTCTTCACCAAGTCTAGCCACCCTCTCTCACATTACGCAAGGATATCGGGTCTTCACTCAGCTCTTGCCGTCCCTCTGGTCAGTAGAGCCACCGGCGAGGTGGAGCTTGTGCTCGAGCTCTTCTTTCCCAGAGTATTCTCCCAGAGGCAGACCCTCGTGACCCAGTTGAACCAGCGGTTCTGGTGCTTTACGCATCTGGTCGTGGACGAGGAGCTCGCCCAAGAAGTGATCTTTGCGACTAAGCAACCAACCCTTGTACAGGAGAGTTGCCCTAAAGACGTGTCCCTCTCGTGGGAGTGTCAGAGAGAAGAAGAGTTCAAGCTCACAAGCGGAGGGGAGGGAGAATCGTCATCCTCTTGGGTTTATAATAACACTGTGGACAGGAAGAGAAGAACCAAAGTGGAAAAGGAGATTACCTTGGAGGTTCTGAGACAACACTTCGCCGGAAGCCTAAAAGACGCGGCTAAAAGCATTGGCGGTGAATGAGACGCACACACACATATATACATATATATACATATGGATTACTACAAGATGATGAAAACTCGAACGATATTGATTTTGTTCTTTTCGTTTTGCAGTGTGTCCGACAACGTTGAAAAGGAAATGCAGACAACATGGGATAAAAAGGTGGCCGTCGAGGAAGATAAAGAAAGTGGGGCATTCGCTGAGAAAGCTGCAGGTGGTGATGGACTCCGTAAAAGAAGTTGAAGGCTCTCTTCACTTTACTTCCTTCTACTCCACTTTCCCTCACATCGCCGCCAAATCCCGGCCACCCTCCTCTTCCTCCTCTCCCGACACGTCATCAACCTCCACCTCTACCCATTCCAACATTGACCCACAAGAGATTTCTCCTAGCCCGCCATTATCAGCGGTGACCGGAAAGGATTCGAAAGGGATCAGAGTGAAGGCCACTTTCGGAGAATCCCAAGCGAGGATGAGACTGCAACCGCATTGGCAACTCAAAGATCTGCGCCTAGAGATCGCTCGGCGTTTCTCCTTTGATGTTTCCTCTAACTTTAGTCTCAAGTATCTTGACGATGATCGGGAATGGGTTCTACTCACGTGTGACGCCGATCTCGAGGAATGTATAGATATAAGCAGGTCATCGCCCTCGTCTCGGAGAGAGACCATCAGACTCTTAGTTCATCAGAACCCACCCCCATAACCAAACCCTGTAATACGAGTTATGCTGTATACATATACGGTGTTGAAGCAAGCGTGCATTAATCATAGGAACATCAACTTGTTGCCCTTTCTTGATTTCAATTTTATGTAAATCTTGTTTATGTGGGGAATTATTTAGTTTGTTGGAGATGTAAATACTTCCCTTTGGATCGTCACAATGATGATAAAGGAATAATAAAAGCATGATTTCTTACAATGATGGACAGATTTCTTCTAAAAGGCTGGTGAATATTTGAACATATTGTATAAATTTAAAGACGCTTTTTTTTTTGTGTGTAGCATGATTTATTATTAAAACAAATATCAAATCATGTTCCATTTTTTCTCCTTGTCACTAACAAATATAACACAGAAGCCTTGCTGAAGAAACTGACTAATGCCCAGTGGAATGAGAAAGCAAAGACTGGATCCATGAATGAGAAACAAGCCAAAAGTTGAATCCTTTATTTTTTTTTTTTTGATGGGCAGAGATTTTCCAAGTTAGATAACAGCTCGGAGTTCCCCAGTGAGCAAGGCATACCTCCTGTGCTGTGACAGGACAGGAGCAACTCTGCATGCCTGAATCCTCTCCTTCAAGCTGTTGCCGCTCTGTTGCTTGGCTGAATGGAGAATGTTCTGCATCATCTGCAGAGGATCTCCATGGCTCACCACCAGTACAGCACATCTGCATTTTATTTGTTAAACATCAAAAAATCGATATCAAAATCAATATATAAAGTAGCAGAATCCTTCAGTATCTCTCCAGTGCAGCTTTCATTACTGAAATCTGAGAACGTATTGTACAAACTAACGCAGCATTCATTCGTGATGCAAAAGCTATCAATGTCTCCCAAGATCATGTATTCCATTTAGAAGCAGATGTCCATGCCAGTGGTGAGGATATGCAGGTCAGGTCACTGCTTGCAAAGATCTAATCAGGTTATTTGCAACGGAACGAGAAGAGATTTGAGTTCCCAGAAGAACCACGGTGTATGGTACGCATGCAGGTGAACACCTACAATTGTTTTGGCTAGATTGCATCTCGAGCAGGACTACTACCATCATCTGGTCCTAGGTTGACTTGACAAATGACAAGGAGCATGTATACCCAGCCTACTATTTGTCTTTTATGTGGCGCAATGTGCTGAATTGCATTTCAAGATTAGCAGATCAATGTTGTCTGAGAGCGTGCCGAGTGTAGTAAACAGGGTAGCAAGAATTTGAGTGCAGAAGAACTAAATAGCAGGACAATTTTTACCCTTCATATTCTGATTCCATGGCTTCCAAAGCATTGGAAAGTCTAGAGACAACATCATCAGCACTTTCGCCTCCCTCTGGTCTCACAAATGGATCTTTCTCATCGAGAGCCCATATCTCTGGGTACTGCGGCATCAGAAGAAAGCAATAAGCTTGAGGGGAAAGAAATAATGTCAATCTCTAATTCTGTGAGCAGTGTCACCAACCCAACATATGATCTAAGATCAAATTGTTACGTTCATATGCAGAAAAAGCCAGCCCCTGATAAAATATCACCAATTACCTTGTCATGGGACAGGAGTTCAAATGCAGGGCCAAAGTAGCGTTCTCGCAGATCTTCAATCATCTGGCCAGCGACTAACACTATCAGCTCACCACAATCAAGATAACAGAAAAACAAGTGTGCTGGAAAATGTAGCGACAGAACATATGCAAACAAAAACCACAACTCTTCAGGACATTCGTGTACAAGCCCACAAACTAATCGACCAAACTGTACATAGCCCACATTAGCAGTCGAAGAGAAACCCAGCATACTTGGACCAAAGATAGTATAGCAAGTGATCATCAATGGCCATTTGGAATGTTACCAACATGATTGAACTTATACAATCACCATCGGGTAGGGCTTAGAGAGTAATAAAAATCTGCGGTATGCTCAAATTTACAGGAGATGCACAGGAGAGTCGTGGAAGCGTGAAAAAAAGAAGAAGAAAAACTCGCCTTGCACTGGGGGCCATCAAAGGGAAGACCGAGAACGGCGGCGACAACCCTTGCGGTGTGACTTGTTCTTGCGAAGGGGGAGTAGCAAATCCGGACCTTCTCGAGTTCTACGTTGCTTTCCTTGAGTTGCTGCACAGATTTGATACAACGTTATTGGCCGCTAACAATACGGGCAAAACCCATGAATGAGCCGGAAATGCAAAAGAAGGTACCTCAAGGAAAGTTTCTCCAGCCAGTCGAGCCTGAGCGACTCCTTCGGCTGCTAATTCATACTGAGGGAGCACACCATTTTCCTACAGTCCATGAATCAGACAAGACATGAGGAGAGACGAGACGATCACAGCGTTGTGTCAGTATGTATCTCAAACAAAAATCCAAGAGAAGAGTGAGAGAGAACCATGGAAGAGACGATGAGGCCTCTCTCGTTGGGAATGCTCTTGCCGTGGCGGAGAACCCAGTATTTGTTCCTCAGAAATGACGCCATATCCATCTTCCTCGGCTTCCTTCTTCCCCGAGAAGGCAAAAGAAAAACCTCTGGTACGACGCGATATGGGGACCTCTCCAAATTCCTCGCCATACGTGGCGGATTTTTATTGGCCCATAGGGGCTAGTCGAACTTATTCACTAGAAGCTCAATACTCGACTCGGCCCAAAGCGAGATTGGGGCCCACAATATAGAAAATGGGCCCGTCTGGAATTGTTTTAACTTTAACCCATCAAAAAGCCCGTTTAGCCCATGATCTCTCAAATTATACATTTTCACGCAAGTCAACGATGGTGATCTCCGTGATGGTTGACTTCCCCAACCTCTATTATATTTAACGGTTCGTCGATCATCAAAATCACAATTCCACATATCCAAACATCAATCCTCTGCATTTCCGATTTAGCCACAGCATGAGCTCATTGGCCACAGTTACTGACGGTAATACATGGCACGTTTTCATATATCCTTTTGTCTAAATACATAAGATTTATATAATTTTTCATTCTTTGATTTTTTTTTTTTACATTTGTTTTATATATCATTACTCAAGAAACTTTAAGAAAGAGATAAAATTTTGATATTCATTGAAAAATTCTCCAGTGCCAAAACACATAAACCCATTATCCTCTTTTATACACACAATTGTTTTTATCTGTAAAACCTAGAATTGATCTTCATCCTCCACGTGTTGCAATCTGTGATACTGAAGAAGCATCTTTCTTGATATTATAAATATTGTTAGGATCCTGAGCAGTACCGTTGGGATTTTGGGCAGAAGAGTGCCTTCCCTCATTCTTCATCTTCGTCGCAGCATGAACCTGCATCTGGAGAGAGAAAGAGGAAGGATTGTTTTCTGATGCTGGAAGAACATTGAAGTTGCTGTACTCTTTAGTAGATAGGCTCATAATGGGCTTTTGATATTGGGCTTCAATAGCCCCCGCAAACTTGGTCGTGGAGAGCAACAAAGACCAAGTTTGAGACGAAGTTCTTCGTGACGACGCCGAGAAAGCGGTTTCGTTAGCAAATCTGCAAGTTGAGCTTCACTATGAATAAACTTCACAATGAAAGAACCGGAAGCAACTTTCTCTCTGATAAAATGATAGTCGAGCTGAATGTGCTTCGATTTGGAGTGAAGAATTGGATTTGCCGTCATTTGAATAGCCGATAAATTGTCACAGTGGAGAACAATTGGCTGCGGTAGCGAAATACCAATATCACGAAGTATAAAAGTGAGCCAAGTGAGTTCAGCGGCAGTACTAGCCATAGCACGATATTCGGCTTCGGTAGATGATCGGGAGACCGTAGGTTGTCTCTTAGCAGACCAAGAAACCAGATTGGACCCAAGAAAGATACAAAATCCTGTAGTAGAGCGACGAGTTGTCTGACATCCTGCCCAATTAGAATCACTAAATCCAGATAGGTTGAGAGAACTTTTGGAATGTATTCTCAAACCCAGATTTTGTGTCCCTTGAATATATCGGAGAACTCTTTTAAGAAGTTGGAAATCTGCAATGGTGGGAGTATGCATTTTCTGACATAGAGTGTTGACAGAAAAACTAATGTCAGGCCTAGTCAAGGTAAGATACTGCAGTGCTCCAACAATTCGACGAAAGAGCTGACCATCACCAAAATATTGAGACTTATTTTGCGACATCACAGACAGTTTTGTAGACAGTGGAGTAGAACAAGGTCGAGAATGTGCCATATCAAATTTATGCAAAATTTCAGATGCATACTTACTTTGGCTGAGATGAAGCTGATCCTGAAACCATTCAACTTGGACTCCCAAAAAATAATGAAGTTGTCCCATATCTTTCATACAGAACTGCTCACTAAGCTGTGCAATCAAGTTGGTCAAATCGGCTTCAGAATTTCCTGTCAAAATTATGTCATCAACATATAGAAGCACAATGAGCAGAATTGAACCATTGTTGTAGATGAATAATGAAGCATCAGCAGTACTACTTTTGAAGCCAAGACTGAACAAAAACTGGCTGAACTTATCAAACCAAGCTCTTGGAGCTTGTTTAAGACCGTAAAGTGCTTTGTTGAGTTTGCACACGTAGTCAGGATGCTTAGCATTAACAAAACATGGTGGTTGCTTCATATACACATCTTCAGTAAGATCGCCATGTAAGAAAGCGTTTTTGACATCAAGTTGCTTCAACTTCCATCCTTTAACCATTGCCACTGAAAGTATAGTACGAATTGTAGGAAACTTAACCACTGGACTGAAAGTTTCTAAATAATCAATACCTTCTTCTTGGAGAAAGCCTTTAGCAACTAATCGCGCCTTTAGCCGATCAAGAGAACCATCTGCACCAAGCTTTGTTTTAAAGACCCACTTGCAGTCAATAATATTCATTCCTGGGGTTTTAGGAACTAGAGACCAGGTTTGATTAGTGTGTAATGCTTGTATTTCTTCTTCCATAGCAAGTTTCCATCCAGGATGACGCATAGCAATGGAACTGTTGGAAGGTTCCTTAGGTATATCTGTTTGTACCAAATGAGCATACTTTGGATTAGGACAACTGATACCTCTCTTGCCACGAGTCATCATAGGATGAGCATTGGCAAGTGGGATGACGGGTGCAGAAGTGTTTCCATCTGTTACAGAAACTAGCTGTGGAGCTGCCACTGTTTCTGATGGTGGAGAAGCAACCACAATGGGAGGAGAAAAAATGGCTGGTGAAGGCATTGAACTATCCTGCGGGACAAATGGTTGAGTAGACTTTGGTAATGGCACATCTATCTTTCCAACAGAGATGGTGTCAGGTAGACATATCCATGCTGAAAAATCAAGAGCAGATAAATCTGTACAGGCAAATGAAGAAGTTGGATCAGATTGAGATCTTGTAGAAAATGGATATGAAGTCTCATCAAACACCACATGCCGAGATATATAAATTCTGCCATTTTCTTTGCAGAGACATCGATAGCCCTTATATTTTTCACTGTATCCAAGAAATACACAAGCAATAGATCTTGGAGCGAGTTTATGAGGGGCATAATCTCTGAGATATGGAAAACATTTGCTGCCAAATACTCGAAGAAATTTATAGTCTGGCACTTTCTGAAACAACACTTCATAAGGACTTTTCATACCAAGCTTCATTGACGGAAGTAGATTCTGAATCAGATTCACTGTAGTGAAAGCATCGACCCAATAAGTTAGAGGAACTTTACTTCGAAACAACAATGCAAGACTGAGTTCAATAATAGTTCGGTGTTTTCTTTCTGCAACACCATTCTGCTCCGGTGTATAAGGACAAGTTACGTGCTGTTGAATCCCACAGTTCTCCAAATGTGACAAAAACTGTGTACTCATAAACTCTCCTCCACCATCACATTGAAACACCTTAATTTTTCTTGCAAACTGGTTCTCTACTAGGAGCTGAAACCGAACAAAAACTGTGTAGAAGTCACTCTTATTCCGCAATGGGTAAAGCCAACTGAATTTAGAGAAGTCATCAACAAAGATCACATAATATTTAAATTTCTGAGATGACAAAACAGGAGCTGGTCCCCAAAGATCACAATGTATCTTAGCTAGAGGCTCTTGAGCACAAGAAGTGGACATAGAAAAAGGAAGTTTAGAACTCTTGGCTAGTTGACATTCATCACAAAGACCTAGCAGTCTTTTATTTACCGAAATTTTCTGTTGTTGAAGCAGAAATTCCAGAATTCTTTTGTGTGGATGTCCTAGTCGTTGATGCCATATATCCTCGGATGTGGTCTGATTTCTGATAGAGAAGAACAACTGCTTTACTTCATCCAAACGGTAGATTCCATTGATCTTATGCCCTGTTGCAAGAATCCTTTGGCTTGCCTTGTCCTTTACACACATACCATGCGAGTCAAATTCACACGTACAAGATAAATCCTTTGTAATCTTGGAAACCGACAATAAATTCTTCTTGATTTGAGGAACAACTAGAACATCTTTCAATGGTAATCCTGAATTAGTAATAGTGGAACCTATATGAGTGATGGGAAGACATGCTCCATTTCCAACAACAATAGCATCCATACCTTGATAAGGGTGAGACGTACTGAGATTATCTGGGCTATTTGTGACATGAACTGATGCTCCTGTATCAGGAAACCACTCATCTCCTTGTCCATCTGAAAGTTGTAGAGTAGAAAGAGCCTCTGGAATATGGCTGATCTGGTAAGCATGATCAAACCTGTACCAACACTGAAGTGCCTGATGTCCAGACTTACCACAAATTTGACAAACAACTGGGTTGTTCACATTCTGGCCCGGGCTCTTTGTTGCATGGTTGAGAGATGGATTACCAATGTCCGAAGTGTTTGATGAATAAGATGATATCCTCGTCTGAAAGTTCTGTGGCACAAATCCTCTGCCTCTAGTAGAGTAATTGGAGGATCCTCTTCCCCTTTGAAATCGACCACCACGCCTATCACTGTTATAGTGATTGAATCTACCAGAATATCCATAAGGACCTCGACCTCCTCTATAATGTGAACCATCAGATGTTCGCTCAGTGACATAAGCATGAGATGGATCAACATACACATTCTCAGTATGTTTATAGTTTCTAATCTCATAAGCTGAAAGTTGAGAAACTATTTCATCAAACGGAGGTATGGGAGGTCGGTACATAGTAGTACGAAAAGAATCATAACCATCCCCTAATCCTTCCAAAAAATAGAATACCTTTAAGCTTTCGTCAACTGGTTTGCCGATAGCATTAAGCTGATCACATACTCCTTTAAACTCACATAAATAGTCATCCACTGTCTTGTTCCTTTTAAGAATCTTTTGCAGCCGTGTCAACAGATCAAATTCCTTAGCTACTGAGCTTTTAATGTAATGATCAGCAAGTTTGCTCCATACCTGACAAGAAGTGTCTAATCCAATCACATGACAAAGAGCTTCCACAGACATCGTTCCGATTATCCAGGTCTTCACCAACCGATCTGTCTGGAGCCAGGAATCATAGTCAGGATTTGCTTGATCCACCTCTGCACCTTCGGAAAGAACTCTAACTGTTGAAGGAGGACTCGGTACCTTTCCATAAACAAAACCCAGAAGTCTGTGTGTCTCCAAAAGAGATTCAATCTGCAATTTCCAGAAAAGATAGTTGGTATTATCAAGCTTTAGAGTAACAAAGCAAGTAGCATTTACATGCTGTGGAAATGGGAATTTCGGTTCAGTAGCCATGGATGTGAGGCTCTGATACCATCAAGAAACTTTAAGAAAGAGATAAAATTTTGATATTCATTGAAAAATTCTCCAGTGCCAAAACACATAAACCCATTATCCTCTTTTATACACACAATTGTTTTTATCTGTAAAACCTAGAATTGATCTTCATCCTCCACGTGTTGCAATCTGTGATACTGAAGAAGCATCTTTCTTGATATTATAAATATTGTTAGGATCCTGAGCAGTACCGTTGGGATTTTGGGCAGAAGAGTGCCTTCCCTCATTCTTCATCTTCGTCGCAGCATGAACCTGCATCTGGAGAGAGAAAGAGGAAGGATTGTTTTCTGATGCTGGAAGAACATTGAAGTTGCTGTACTCTTTAGTAGATAGGCTCATAATGGGCTTTTGATATTGGGCTTCAATAATTACCATCCCTAAAGTTCCTTCCCTTCAAATCATGAAGCCGGAGGAGGAGGATGAAGCTGCAAGCAGTTGTTCAAATTGGTAAGGTTTCAATTTCAAATATTTTATTAAAATTTTGTTTTTCCTGCAAGAATAGTGTGGTTTATCTTTGGTTTGATTCAATTTTGGACGAAGCGAAATCTTGGGCGGCTGTTGCGAAGTTTGCAATTCTTGCATTGAGTGCTGGATTGGGTGTTTCGAGCTTCTGGGTGCTTGTGCTTGTTCATGTTAGGACACGGACCAAGATCTGTTTTTTTTTTTTTTTTTTTTTTGGGGCCTTGAAGGATTCTTATGTCTTCTATATTTTTGTTGTTGTTGTTAAGAATCAAATTTACTATACGTTAATATTAGACTAATTTTCTCCGATTTATTTATCACTTAAATCACCTATTAATTTATAGGGCTAGACATTTCGTTCGATTTTTCATAAACAATAACTTAATTAATTATGATGTAACGAATGATTATGTTATCTTTATAACACGAAAATCGAATAGAAAAAAAAAATGAAAAGCTGCAATTTATTTTAGAAAATAAGCATTTTTATCTTTATAAACAGAAAATGAACCAAATCTAATCTAACATAAATCCCAATAGATATAGATTTTCTAAATTTAAATCACCAAAACAGAATAAACTCAAATCGAATCTAAACCGAATACCGAAATGTCTAATTTTAACAATTTCTGATTAAAAATTGTATTCACTCAACTCGTAACCGCGAAAAAATTATAAAACACCAAAATGTAACTCTCGGTTTTGGGATAAGAAATTATGTGCATCCCAAACCAATGAAGGAACAAACCATAGGGAATTAAAAGTGCAGAATAAAACCATAATAATTCATATTCCCACCAAAACGACAACAGCACCTGTAGTATTATAATAGTCATATACCAGTTGGGCCTGATGGGCCATTCAAATTAACCGACCCATTAGACTGGGCCTCTTCAAAGGCCTTAACAAGGTCAGGATCGACGTTATCCAGAGGCTCCCACGTGGCATCATCCATGTCCGTCCATTTGACTAGATACTCCGTCTTCCCATCGTCCCCCGTCCTCTTCCCAGTTACCTCCTCCGCTACGGCGTACTCTAAACCAGCCTCGTAGTCCCTCACCAGATCTTCCGCCACGTAAGCAGCTTTCACCCACTCGCAATCTCCACCGTCCTTCCATTTGATCAGATACTCCACGTGTTCTCCTCTCCCTCGCTTCTCCACGATCCCCTGCACCTCCGCGTACTCGAACACCTCCCCTTCCAATAACCTCATCACACTCTCTAGCCCCAATCTTCTAGCGAATTGCATTGGATTCCCTTTCGGCGTCACTTTCAGTATCTCCCTCGTCAAATCTAACGGCGTTAGCCCTCTGTCGTCTGCCACCTCAGCATCCGCCCCCATCTCCAGAAGCGCCGTCACCACCGCCGGCTTCACGTACCCCGCCGCCATGTGAAGCGCCGTTAAACCGCCGTTACTATCCCGGTGGTCCAGATCAGCTCCAGCTTCCCCTAGGAGCCTGACGCAGGGCTCGGAGCCGAGACCGGCGACGAAGAGGAGGGCGGTTCTTCCGTCGCCGTCAACGGCGTTAATGTCGCGGCCGTCGGCCTCCGCCGTCTCCAGGAGCTGTCTGAGCGCCTGCTCGTCGGCTTTCTTGGCGGCATTCCACCACGGCGTCTCGTACTCGGCGACGACGTCCTTGGCGATGTAGCCGGCGGGAACCCACGACGGCGGGGGGGCGTCCTTCCACTCGATTAGGTACTCCATGGCCGCACCAGATTCCGCCACCCGGCTCCCGATGATCCTGTTCACTTCACCGTAAGACTCATCCTCTTCCACGGCGGCTACTTCGTAGTTTCGATTTACGGCGAGGACTGGACGGAGAGAGAGCGATTTATGGGTCAGTGTGGTGGGAAAAGACTGGACGGAGAAGGGAGGAGGAGGGGGAAAGGGGCGCGTCTTTGGAGGGAAGTGGATGCGAGAGAGACTCTGGTTGATGACGAGAGAGGCATCCATGGGGGGAGACACCGCAGTTGCAATTGCAAATGTTCGTGTTGTGTTGTCATGATTCAATGACATGTCCTGTCTGTCACACTACCCCTTCTGAAATGGCGGATTTTCCAGATAAGGAATCTTAGCCATCCATTTGACTGTGGGGCCCAATTAGGGCCCAGCTTTGGCAATCGCCATTTGGGCTCTGCTTAATAATATTCCGATATAATTTGGCGTAAATTTTGTAAAATCGAATAAACTGAAATTGATGAATCACAAAAACGTGTGAAATTGTGTAAATATTAAATTTCGAATTTTTTTTTACAGACTTTAATTCGATAGAATCAAACAAACTCTTCCCGAACTGAATCTAACACTACCGAACCGAAACAGTCATCCTAATATTGTATTTATGTGAGACGCTAAAATGAAAGCAAACAACTTATGGGGTATTAACCAGGCATTTTCATAACAAACACAGGAGGAGGAAATAACAAAGGACAATAGAACAGAGACATCATGTCATACAACAGAGTATCCTCAATGAAGATTCTATATATATATATATCATGTACATTGCCCAAAGAGCAAAACTCCATGCGCGGTTACATAAGAAAAGGGCAGATGCAGCAAATCTAGTTTTACTGAAACAGACAGTTTTAAACGCTCTGCCAATGGCATCCCTTCTGAAACCATCTGCTGCTTTCAACATTAGAGTTACACACCTCGTACTCACTCAGCAACCTGTTCATTGCACCAATCTTACTCATCAGATCGCCTAACAATTAAGCATAATCCTTAATTTGATTCTACACAAACATCCCGGGTCTACTGCCTCCTGTCTTGGGTACATTAAAAATGCACAAAAATCCATGCAGATTCAATATAAAACCGCAGGCTGCGTGCACAGGTAGCAATGATCCCTAGGAGCATGAGCTTAAAAGAGGGCTGACCAGACCTGACTGACAAAACCATTAACCTTACTAAAAGCTTCTATACTTTAGCACTTCCCTCCCTTTTTTCTCTCATGGTCAGGGAAACTGTTACTACCCTGATCCAGATTCAAGGAATAATTGCGGGACCTCATTCTATGACATTTTGTGATTCCTACATGTAATGTAATGTATGTAAACCCCATGACACCAAGTTCTCTTACATTTTATGGTAAAATACAGATTACATATAATTGTGAGCAGCATTTATGGATTTTCACCGACCTGGTTAAGAGGATTGTCTGGTGATTTCTTCCACATCTTCCATATCATGTCCTTGTACTGAGTGTGGGTAAGTCCTGGTTTCTCCTCCTTCAGCTTTGGGAGCTCAGTTTCTTCAAAGGCCTAAAACAAGATCATTGGCAGTGTTCATAGATATTACCAGACAATGAACCATTCACATGGATAGAGAAGACATGATAAATCTGATTATAGATATTTAACATATGCTTCAAATAAGCTCCCAAGATCTGGCCAACCGAATCTTTCCATTTGCTTGTGGCAAATGTGATTCAATTACAAGAAGCATCTAAATCACAATTTTGTCTCACAAGTTCCTTCCCACGGCCAACATTAAAGATATTGAAGCATTAAAAGTATCTCAAACTTGATGGCTTAAGCACCAGCATAGAGCAAAACAGAGAACCCATCTTCCCTTCTGACATTATCCACATTAAAAACTTTCAATAGACCTAACAATCAACTAAACGAATCCACCACAATTCAGGGTTCCAGTACCAAAAGTATTCAAGCATTCCTCCTAGAATGCTCATCGATTTCAAGAGGATAAAAAGGGAACACGAGCTCACCTTAAACGAGGCCTTGAGCCTTCGCTCCGGATGCCGATCAACCGGCAGAGTATCTGAAACTGCCATCCGGGCAAGCGCCTCATCAACGCCATGGGCCTCGATGATCGAATCATCGCGGTTCGTATTCGTCACCAGCACCATCTTCTCGTACTCCTCCTCCGCCGCCATACGAGCTTGGCGTTTCTTCGCCTCCTCCGCCTTCTTAGCCAGCTCAGCTTGCTCCTCCTCCCGTCTCTGCCGCAGCTCCACCTCCGTCATCTTAGGAATCGGCACCGAGACGCGATTCGCCTTCTTGTCGGGTTTCTTCAAGGCCTTCTCCAACTCCTTCTCCTCCATCTCCGCCAGCCTCCTCGCCTCCGCCTTCTTAGAGACGGCCTCAGCCTTCTTCTCAGCTTCCTCCTCCCGCTTCTTGGCTGCTTTCGATTTCGGACCCTCGGCCTCCCGCCAGTACTGTTCCTCCTTCTGCCGAGCGTTGCGATCCTTCCGCTCGCTCTCCGCCGCACCTTTCCGCGCCCTGGCCGCTTCGGCCTTGCTGTTGACTCCCATCTTCTTCGGCATCTTACCTCCGATCGGACCTTCGCTAGGGTTCCTAATCTCCCTCGAAAATTCGCCCCTTCACGTCGTGAAACGAAAGCGAGGCGACTCGGCTAATAATTTTTGTGGCTTTCCATTCGACTCTAGAAGAAAACTGCTTTCCCTTTGTCAGATAGTAAAGCCCATAAAGCCCAGGCCCACTAAGTGGTTTTTCATACCCAAGATTTTAGTTTTTTTTTTTTAATTTTAATTTTATATTTTAGTTTTTGGTTTTGGTTTAATATTTGTAAATTTAAAAAAAAATTGACTTTTTAACTAAAATAATTTACATAATTTTTCTTATCATTTTTAAATTTTTTTAATTTTAAAACTGTCCATTCGACTCTTTATTTTTAGTTATATAAATATACAATTCGAATGAAATAACAAAATTGTAATTGAATTGTTATAAAAATTGAATGGTTATAATTTTTAAAAAATTAAAAAAGTTGAGTATAGAAATAAAGATTAATTGAAAAAAATTGAACCAAATCTAAAAAGAATTAAACTGCCAAATCAAATTTCAATAAAAATCGCGTATTTAAAATGTTTTTAAAATCGAAATAACCATTGGAATATTAATCTAACCCGACCCAAAAAGGGAATCTTACTCAAATGACCTAGTTGGGTCGCAATAATTTCACGCGCACCATCCAAAATATAAGGAATTAATTTTTTTTGGAAATACGAAATTACCCTTAATGAATACGTGATATTTGTCCGTTCGAAAACAACTTCATTATTAAGACTTCGTAATTAATTCTAAATATAGTTACAATTGATTCTAAAAAAGGTGACAAAAAAATCATCTGTCGAATTTTAAAAAAAACTACGTTTTATTTGAGACTTTCATCTCTATACGATTATAACTACTTCTTATTTTAGTTGTATATTAGTTATATATTAGTCGTAATAAAGTCGTAAAAAAATAAAAAAAAAACGGTATTTCGGACTTTTTCAGTCGAAAAATAGATTAAAAATTGAAAATAAAAATTATTTTTGTTGGTGATGTACCATGAAATTGCTGCTATCATTTCACTAAAATTCCCACCCAAAAACCCAATAAATAATAAGCCATGGACGATAGAGCCCGAAAATAAGACCTATACGTACATATGTACGTATACACGCATAGGAAGTAGGAGGCGTTTTATTATGACATTTATGCTTTTATCAATCATATCAGTACCACTCTATCTCTCTCTTTTCTGTCGGACGCTTGATCAGTGGATTGCGATCCGTTTGACCTACCGGAGATGCGAGGAGTTTGTCGTCGAAGGAAGACGATGGCAGCTTCTCCGTGAGATGCGAGAGCTGCAGTCCCAACGCTGACATTAGCGAGTCGAAGTGTTCAAGCAAGTTCTCTTGCCAACGCCTCGACGGCGAAGGAGCCTCCAGCTCGATGACTACGTCGGCCAAACCCTTAATCCATGACGGCGGGAGAGGATTCTACTTCACGGCGCCGGTGATGCTGCCAGTGATCGGTGGTAAAAATGTGATTGTTTCGGATGGCAAAGTTGGAGAAACGGGGCAACGAATTGTCTGGCAAAAGATTAGGGCTTTGAACTCTGGGTGTGTGCATATATGGGCACACCCGTATATTTCTGTATGAGTCTGCGTAGATCTGCAACATTGATGGAGTAGCAAACAGATTTGAACTTCTGGGCTTCCTTTTTTGGAATGTAATTTTAGGGTTTTGTTCTGGTTTCCGTAGAAACTAGAAACTGAGACGATGAAGGAGAGATTCTCTTAGCTTCTTTTAGGAGAAGACATGTCGGAAGGGGGTAAAGGGGTTTTGTACTGCACTTGCAATATCCAATGCGATCACCAATCTCTCTGGTAAGAGAAGCTTTCAGTGAATTAACGCGAAATTTCATTTCTTGTTTTGGTTTCTCGCTTTCCTGTTTATGTCATCTTCACTGGAATCACAACTACAGTACTGTGTTTGGCGAACTGTGATGGCTAGAGCCGCTTGCACCACAGAAGAAGGCAATACGGCGTAGGGAATTGGAGTGGTTACTTTGTGATAGTGATCCGATCGTTGATCTTGTTCCTTCCATACAGCATTTCCCTGGCGGTGGAACTTACCAGATCATGGAGACTCAACCTCGCTCTGATATCTATGTGAATCCTCCTGCCCTGAAGAAGCTCGATGTAATGTTGATCGGTATGCTTGAAGAGTTTTCTCATATCGAGCTCTGGTATGTCGATCGTGGGATAGTCCTAGGAGAAGGTGAGCTGGATTCGTATAATCCAATCCGCCTGTTTCCACAGGCTGGCCTTCTGTTAGCAGGAGAAGTGGTGGCTTCCATGTCCAAAGTTGCCATCTAATGGATTGTCTGAGGAGAGGAGACACGGAAGAAACCTCAGCAATGTTGGGACTGAGTTGTTCAGATTCTGAAGGCTGTTTTAGCAATTAACAGCAGGGTCCTCGCGGAAATGGGGATACCCGATGCTTTCCAGGAGACACTGCCAAAGGTATGCAGCTTCTGCTTCTCTCTTCTCTTCTTCATGGCTCACATGTTTCCTTGAGTTGTTATAAGTTGATGTTATATGCTGCTGATGAATTGTGTAGTTATAGGTGTTTCGATATTCAGGCATACTCCACAACCCATTATTTGGTGTTGGGTTTTGTGGATTTCACCTTGTCCATAGGTTCTCCCCCAATAGGAAAATCTTGTTCTCGTGAAAGTTACAGAGGGGTTCTAAAACTATGAACAGTTCTCTCCATAATCTCAACAATAACTGCATCAGTCATAACTTTTCGTCTCTTCCCCTCGTTTTCACAAGAATCTTGTTCTAGGATATAGAAGCTTGAAGTGTTGGCTGCCAAACTCCTGTCAGATCTCTGCAGAGTTTCTTTCTAGACATTATCCGTGTGATTCTGCTTAAAGCTGAACATTATATCTAGTTTTTGCCCTCACATAAGATGCAGAGCTTAAAGATTCAGCTTTACAAATCGTATTATGTCTCTTTGAAATTTACTGTCTTTTGGACACTTGACATGAACAAGGTTCAGTACAACCCTGCACGTGAAAAACGCTTTATGCAAAGGTTTCTTGGAGCGGAAGAAACAGACAGAAGACGTGCAGGATGAGTTATATACGGTTTTCCAACGGCTACTTGCTTGTTTTTTTTTTCACTCAGTGCTCTGTTTCTTTTTTTTTTTTTGCTAAAAAAATCTTTGGGCCCAAGCTGTGGAAGGAGTGGTGGTGTATAGTCGCTGCCACAAACATAAATATCATGCACTCATTCATTAAATAAGAATTTTTTTTACACCAAAAAAACGTGTAGAAAAAAATGTAAATACCACCAATCTTTCTAGTGGTTGCTCTTTGATCAAACAATAGTGTGATTCAAGTGAACATATATATATATATATAAGTTTTGGTTTATAAAAGATTATAATATGCAGCCCCTATTGGATAAGAGAGAGAGTAATTGTCTTAGAAGCAAGAAACTGAAAGAGATGATGATGGTCCACATGAAATTGGTAAGAGTAATTTTCTTGCAAGCAAGAAACGGAAAGAGATGGTCCACATGAAATTACGAACGAAAACAAAACAAGTTATGAGATAATTCCGACCTCAATAATGGCCAACTTCTTCCATATGGCCAAACCGAATTGTCTTAAAAATGTTTTGATAATTAAACATTTTGATATTACCACGATCCAACGGTGGTGATACTAAGATCATCTCCGCTCCATCCAACGGTTGTCGTTAATCTCTCTCTCTCCCCCCCCCCTCAAATAAGCAGAAGCCTCAAGTTGCAGGAGGGAAAGGGGAAAATGGCGACTGCTTCTCTCTCCCTACGACAGCCACGGCTCAGCCCCGGCTCTAACCTCCCTCTCGCGCCGGTTCTTCCTCCGTACAAGCTTCATCCCACCGTCTTGGGAAAGTCCGAGCCGTGGCGATCGGTGGCGATTCTTCCTTCTCGGCGGCGATGTGCGGCGGTTAGAACCAGTTCCCGCGCCGACGACTCTGCGCCACTCGATATGTCCCTGGAGACCGCTCTCAAGGTCCTCGGTGTCTCCGAAGGCGCCTCCTTCGAGGATATTCTTCGCGCCAAGAATTCGATCATTGCTTCCTGTAATGGCGACCCAAACGCCGTCGCTCAGGTCACTGTTTCTTCGATTTTTTTATGGTGTTTGATCCTGTGGTGCTTCCCCTCGTAATTCGGGTTTCCCACTGCTGAATTCTGTGTTGCTTCCTCTTTATCGTCAGTTATAGGAATTTCCATTCGCTTGCTTAAATCCTTATGATCCAGGACGAAGAAACTTTCCGTAATTTGCTATCGTCCTCATCTAGATGAATCTTTCTGAGACCCACCGTCTATTTCATATAGAATCTTCTCGGTTTAGCAACACCTTCGTCGATAAACTCCGACATAGGGAAGCAATCTCTTGCGATTAAAGTTTCACAACCTCATTCCAAGTTAATTCCTTTTTCTTTTTTGGGCAGGCTGAGGCTGCGTATGATATGCTGTTGATGCAGAGTTTAAACCAACGACGAGCGGGCAAAGTCGTGAATAAGAGCATTCGTTATGCCGATGTTAAACCCAGCAATGTTTTGGGAACAGGGCCAGTGTCTCAATGGATGCAGGCAACAGCGAAGAATCCGCCTGTCTCGATCGAAACGCCATCAACGAGCGATCTGGGTTTGCAAGCTGGAGTCTATGGAGCTTTGATGATTTTAACATACGTGAATGGGAGTTCAACAGAGTCTTCCACTATACCTTATGCTGGTGCTGATGTACCTGGACTCATCTTGGCTAGTAGCTTTGGAGCTTCCCTGTACTTCATGACGAGAAGGAACGTCAAGCTAGGTAATGATATATCTTCTGTTCTTTCTAGTTTCCTGCAGATCAACATTTCCAGGAAAGAAATTGCAGAAACAATCTGCGAAGAGAATTTTGTCATAAAGCTGAAATATTTTGTTTCTCTGGGTAAAGGGTATTCAAAGCTGAAACCTTTTCTTTCTGTATAGATCAAATCATCCAACGGTGGGTTCCCGATAAATTTAAAGTATTAGATAGAGTTTTGTGCCAACCAAGTGCAAATAATTTACTAGGCCAATTCTCCGGCATCTACTCAAGATGAAGGCGTCGTACATGGGGTCTTGTGGGCAACATTAAAGTCTTACAACTTGGACTTGTTTAGGTGTCGTATGGACTGCAGTTCCTGGAATCTGGCTATGCAACTTGGCTTCTGTTAAAAATGAAACCATTGACACAAAACAGAACTGAAAAAAAAAAGAGCCTGTTGTGTTGTTGTTGGCGCAGGCAAAGCGGCTGCAATAACCGTGGGAGGCCTAGTGGCAGGGGCGATAGTGGGATCGGCCATTGAGAGCTGGTTGCAGGTTGATGTGGTCCCGTTTCTCGGCCTGCACTCCCCGCCTGCCGTTGTGGGTGAATTCATAATCATCTCTCAGTTCTTGGTGTCTTTATGCCTACGGTAAAACCGGAACAGTGGACGTCTGCCAGTGTGTATCACATGTATAGATTAGTCGTTGGCTTGGCAGGTCATTTGCCCATTTATGCATTTTGTACAGAACAAGAGAAACAAGAACATTTGGATTCAAGCTTGCTGGAATCAGTGTTGTATTTTCGCCGAGAGTTGCTGTTCCGGGCGAGTTCATAATCCTACTCTCAAATCTGTGTTGCTTGCACATAGGTTCTCTGAATGTGGCGAAGAAAGACCAAATCGTAACGTAGAGCCGCAAAGTTGTAAACTTTACATTGAAAGAAATAAGACAAAAAATATAAAAAAAAAATATATATCTGAGGGAAATAAAGACGGATCTGTTGAGATATTCGGGCAGGATCACAATCTAACATAGTTACAGATTTGGGACAGCAATCTTTCTTAAGAAATAAGAAAGGCGGCTTGGGTAGGGGCCAAGGTGTTGGGAGGGTAACTGAGCCCTGCCCCTCTCACGGAAACGGCCGGCCCAGCACGAGCTCGAGCTCGGCTCACAAGCTCGTAATCAAGGAAGACGACCACAACGGTTATGTCGTCGTGGAAATGGCGGCGTACTCCTCTGTCGATCTTCTTCAGGTCTGAGTATCTCATCTCTCTCTTCTTTGCCGCCTCTTGCAATGCCGCTTTCACCAGCCTTTTTGCTATTCCCTGTATATATATACACACATACATTGCTCCAGGCTGTTTTCCGACAACAAAAAGACCCAAAAAAAACAGAGATGGGTCGTAATTCTTACGCTGCGTGGATGATTTTGAACAATGTCGACGGCTTCTTGGTTGCTCAAGTGTTCCCAGAGCCCATCCGAAGCACATATGATAAACTGATCGTGTGGCTGCAGTTGATGCACCGTGATAGCTGGCTCTGCACTCAGTATTGGCTTACTGAATCGTTCCCGAAGGCGGAATTTGGGTAATAACGGTTCTCGGTTGAACTCAGACCGTTTCAGATACACATCCCCAATGGATCTCGAAATCTGTAAACGATACGCTACTTTAATAAGCTCATTGAGAAAGGAAAAAAAAAACGCCTCAAGACGATCCTCAAGAATCAGTACCACCCTTGAATCAAAACAGGGTTGTTTTACCTGAATGATGCCCTTCACCCGCCACACGTTATGTTTCAGAACCACGATGCCTGAATCGCCTGGATGCAGAGCCTGAAGCTCACGACGAACAGACTCTATAGAAGCGTTATGCTCAGCCGAGAGCTGGATGGCGTGGACTTCCCCTGTTGCTTTCATGACCCGCCCCAGCACCGCCCTTGAGTCACCAAGGTTCGCAACATACAGCGTCCCATTGCATACGATGCTGACGAGGCAGCACGATCCAACTGCCGCTATCTGCGGTTTCATTGGCCACTGTCTGGGCACGACAGAGAGGAAGCCATCTTCGGTTGCCTGGAATGCTTTCTTTATCACGTCCACTGACATTGACTGATTCTCTGTAGCAAACCCTGTTTGCAGAGGAACTGCATAAGCTCAAAAATTCAAGAAAAACAGGATCCGGGCATGGGAAAGTTCGTCGTTTAAGGGGAAACAAAAGGAAAAACTATATTATCTATATAGATAAGCTGAGTTAAGCTTATAGTTTACCAAATGAATCTCCAGGGCCATGCTATATATATGCAACTGACAAAAAAAAAAGACAAACACAAGGCCAAAACATGCCATTTTCAAGAGCTTGGCCGGTTACTACTCACTCTTGAGATGTTGGAACAAGTTATTGTTGATGAAATGAGCGGTCTCAGGGCCACCGTGACCGTCATAAACACCGACGAAAGTGCCATAGGGACCAGACTCGTGTGTGCTGAGACTGCCTGACTCGAGCTGGCTCTGGTCCTCAAGCAAGTTGTTGGCTTGAACCACGGCCATGGAGAAGTCACCACAGGCATGCTGACCAAAGTCTCTGTACCACAACAGCCCGTCCTGCTGACCACCGGAATCTGAACCAGAACGGCCCGAACTCGGCCAGAAACAGGCCCTCAGAAGGTTCATCAACCCTGATAACATCCCTCATCTCATCCAAATAGCCCCCCGGTCGTAATGGAAAGACATCTAAGCTCACCAGCCAGAGAACCAAGACAACAGAACTCTTCTTCTTGATGCACGAGAATCTCACACTGCAAGCATTCATCAAAGACAGAAGACAGACTGCAACAATTACCATCAACGAGCCAACAGCCATTTCTTGCAGACTAGTAACGACTCCGCAAACAGTTCTTAAAAATACATATCTACATGAATGGATCAATAGTTAATACACGATGTTTATAGATGCAAATGGAAGCCTGTGCGATGGACCAGCAGATAGATCATGTAGAAGTATCAGTTTGGAGAGGAGGAAACTTGTTCTGCATTTGAAAATTTGGGGAAAGAAAATGGAATCAAGATGAACAATAAATTGCAAAACTCGTGAAACACGACGTTGAAGAGAAATCGTCAAACCGAGCAATTTCTTGATATTGGGTTCTTTGGTTACGGGTCTCCAGCACAGTGATATAGTCAGCGGAAGAGGAACAGTTCAGTTCAACGATCCGAAAATTCAAAGGGTTTACTGTTTCTCGGAAAGATTCAAACTTTTCGATTACCCACCGAGGAAACATCGACAAAAATACAAGGAAAACAAAAAGTTGGAAACTTTACCTTGGGAGAGAGAACTTCTACACCTGGGGCCTGTGGTATAGCTTGAAGAGGAAGAAGATCTGTGGAGGAGGAGTCTGGGATTTTATGATGTGGGTATGGAAATGCTCGGTTAGATCTAAGGATCAACCAAACTGGAAAAAAAAAACTCCTGGAGCAAGAGGATGAGGAAGAAGACCACCAGGCACTGGTAAAGAATTTAGCTGGACAAGGCTTATAATCTCTGCTTCCAGCAAGAAAGAAGGGAGGGAGAGAGGTCAAGTCGCCGAAGGAGAAGTCTCTATCAAAGGCTGCTGCTTGTTGTTGTTGTTGTTCTTTCTCGATGAGATGAAATGAGATCCAAAGTTCATCACTCTAGGCTCTCTCTCTCTCTCTCTCTCTCTTTTGGGTTTTGGCTGTAGAAATGGAACAAGTGTTGTTCTCAAGAGATTGAGATTCTCAGCAGACAAGACCCATAAAAGACCAACGATGGAGAGGTCGGAGCCAGCTATGCAAAGGTCCACTCCTCTTTGCTTTGGGCTCCACAATCGAGAGAGAGTCAGTCAGTTAGGTTAGGTGACTCCAAAGAAGGACCAAAGTATTTTTTTTTTTTTGCATATGGAGAAATTAAAATTTTGTTTATTAGATGATTAAAGAAATTAAGGACCGATCTATATGTAAAAATGGATATCAATGTGTTCAATTTTTTTATTAGTCTGTCATGTCATGGAAAAATCAAAATGTTGACTGTTGATCTCTTATTCTCTAAGAAATTTTCTCTTCGCCCGTCTATTATGGAGCTTCTAAGTTGATTACCATTAATAATATCAAATTTTATTATCAAAACTCAAATTAATTACTTATACTGCTTACAAATAAATGTGGCATCTTAAAACTCCATCTTAGATATAAAAAAAATGGCTCTTTTACAGTTCCAATACGTTGGATTTAACATACATGAAGATGTAATCCTAAAAAATGTCGTGCAAGCAATAAAATTGGAGTATTATTTGCTCTAATTTTTCCTTTGAAATCTCTATGAATATTGCTGAAAGAAATGTTTTTTTTTTTGGGCTGTAGAATAAAATATTGGATGAAATGGTAAACGGCCATGAAAGAGGTGGTCCAAAAAAATGAAAGGAAAAAAAGATGAGGGCATAGCCTTCCCCTTGAAGAATGAAATTGAATAATAATCTATTAGGGGCCCGAAAGTGATTGGGATATTATATTTATATATATGGATATGTCCCTTTACCTAACATTATTTAATTATGAATGTGCCACTGACTACTCACTGGATTTTATTTTGTACTTTTTTTTTAGAATGCCAATAAGTGGGCTTACATAATACAACATCTATCATGCAAAACCTCATATCAAACACCCACAATTATTACTAAATATGATGATTTTAATATATGTATACTACAAATGCTTTTTTTATATTAAAAATAAAATTGCCATAGCTTCTTCCAATGTTTGGTAAAAAAAAAAATTAGACTTTGGTAGTGAGTATGCTCTTTCTCCACATCACAAATCATATGGTGGTAAGAACAACTAACATAAACCGTGCACGTAATTGTATGTAAGCAAAGCTCTGTTGACGACACTCTCAAACGCATATGTCGGTGTGTGCCGTAATCTTTGAGGATCACGTCAGTTTCATGCTGCTGTAGGACTGATCGAGGGAAAATGAGATGCATTATCCATTCTTGATTTGCAGATGTAGAGACGAGGCTAACTCGCGAGCTAATTCATTTTTACCGAGTTAGATTGGAAAAATATAAACTCAAAAGAAAAACCGGTTCAGCGAACCAACTCATCGCGAGTCGAACTCTTCATGGGTCAGTTCCACCGGCCCGTAAGCTATCTTGTGAGTTAAAAATATTTTACTTATAAAATCGCTTTTTTTTTTATTCGGCTTGCGAATTGAGGCGATCTACACAAGTTGAATCGGTCTGAAACCAGCCATAGCTTTCAAAAATAGGCTGCAACCGAGCCGGGTCCAGAACAGTCCGGCTCAGATTGCATCCCTGCACTGATTCATGGGAGATGAAGATGACGAAGAAGAGGAGAAAGGACTCTGCGATAACATTAACAGACACGCACATGTTGATAGTTGTGTGTTGCAATCTTCAGAGGATCACTTCAGTTCCTTTTGCGGTTGTTTAACCTAGATTTGGATGGTGGTGGACAAGAAGAAGAAGAAGAAGAAAAAAAGGGCCAAAACGAGAGAAGGTTCAGATAAGCAAGTGCCGTGTTGCCTTTTTTAATACAATTTTCTTTTCATTTATTTAATGTGCTAAAGACCAACTACATATGGACGGAGGGAAGAGCCAGACAATTCTCCATTGGCTTGTGTGCCCATCTGCCGCCTAGGAGCCTTCCTTCCTTGACCCATGTTATATATATACATATATAAATATGAAGAAGCTCGCATAGATGGGATCTCAGAGAGAAAAACACTGCTTGGGCCAATGGAAGAAGAAGTTGAAGATATTGTAATAGTGGGAGCAGGAATAGCAGGTCTTTCAACAGCTCTAGGGCTCCACAGGTATGTATTATCTATATATGTATAAGCATATGATATGATAATGCAAAAATGAGACGAGTGAGTGTGGACCAGACAGGGGATCAGGAGCAAGGTGCTGGAGTCGTACGAGGATCTGAGGGTGACAGGGTCCGCCCTCACGACTTGGTTCAACGCTTGGAAAGCCTTGGATGCTCTCGGCCTCTCCCCTGCACTCCGTCCCTCCCACCATCGCCTCCACGGGTATATGCATACAGTAATACCTCTTAAGATAATCCCTCTATTCAACTTCCCTTACATTTTTTGAGTTCTGGATGCAGAATTGCGGTTGGCTCGGTTGTAGCAGGCAATCATCCCTCTAGACAGCTCTTGTTCGGCCAATCCCAGTATGTTTCTTATCTCTCAGCCCAACCTATTCCATGGATCACACAGTGAATGCTATAACTCCATCATCATCATCATCATCATCTTCTTTCCTGTTTCCTGTTGTTGTCAGAGAACATGAGGCTCGATGCCTGCAGAGGAAGCTGTTGCTGGAGTGTCTTGCAAGAGAATTGCCCCCAGGGACCATAAGGTTCTCCTCTAAGGTTGTCTCTATTCAACTGTCGGGTCTCTTCAAACTTGTTCATCTCGCCGACGGCACTGTCCTCAAGACCAGGGTATAATCTCTTCCCTGATCCCCCTCTCCTTAAACCAAGAAAACATGCTAACCACTCTTTAGGACAGGTTTTGGTAGGATGTGAAGGAGTAAACTCGATTGTAGCCAGGTGGCTAGGCTTCAAAAACCCAGTTACCACCGCTCGATCAGCCATCCGGGGCCTCACCCATTTCCCAAACGCCCATGGTTTCGGCAATACGATCCACCAGTTTCTTGGCAACGGTGTCCGTTCAGGCTTTATCCCCTGCAATGACCATACAGTCTACTGGTTCCTAACCCACACCCCTACTCAGCCAGGTAAAATAACCTCTTTTTTGGATATTACAAGTTCAGTTTATCCCTCTGAATCTTACTACAATCACTGATTTACCTAACTAGATGAGGAAACAAATCCGACTAAACTGAAACAATTCGTCCTGGACAAGCTAAAGGACTTACCTGACAATGTCAAAGGCATCGTGGAAGACACAGACCTCAGCAGCATCGTGATGTCCAGGCTGAAGTACCGACCTCCATGGGAGATCTTATGGGCAAACATCACAAAAGACAATGTATGCGTTGCAGGAGACGCACTTCACCCCATGACACCAGATATTGGACAAGGTGGCTGCTCGGCCTTGGAGGATGGCGTTGTGCTTGCTCGCTGTCTCGGTGAAGCGCTGAGAGCCAATAACCTGAAAGGTGACACCGAAGAAGAGCGTTACAGGGGGATAGAAAACGGTCTGAGGAAATATGCAAGCGAAAGGAAATGGAGAAGTATCGATCTCATAACTACGGCATATATGGTCGGCTTTATACAAGAGAGCCGAGGAAAGTGGACTAACCTGATCAGAGACAAGTTACTGTCGTCATTTCTCTCCAGGATGCTGCTGAAAAAGTCGCATTTCGATTGCGGGAAGCTTGTTGAGGGTTCTCCATGATTACCTTATTTGAACTCTACTTGGCCAATACTTCAGCTTCAACAATAAACCTCCTGTGTTTTATCCTTTCTTTTTCAAAGTTACACATCTTACACGAAAAATGAATGAAAGATATATGGATTGCAGTATGTACAAGGCTTTTTTCTGGTTGTTAACTGAGCAAAAGACAGGTATTAGCATCTGGATATGGAAAACAGAAGTCGCTTTGGTCCCTAGCCTATGAAATTGCGTCTCAAGCCAGCCAAAGGGTATCTATAGAGCTTAGTTTTCATTAGATCCAAGACATCGCACATAGCAAGAAAGAATAACAATAGCTAAAGATGGTGACTTTGGATCGAAAAGCTTGGGGATTTAAACCAGACAAAAGAAAAACCGCAGCAAGAGCTTCGTGATTTATTCGTTTAAGGCAAAAAACTCTGGGAAATCGAAGCCCAGAGATCTGGTAACCGGCTAACGTCCTAAGGAACAAGCAGAAGGAATCGGGGGTAGGGTTTCTAACACAATTCAGAGAAGTGGAATTTAGAGACAGACCAGAAATGGAGACAAGGTACGATACAAGGATGAAAGAACATCCAAAACACGAGAGAGAGAGTAAAGACCTCGCTCGTCGACGACGTCGAGGGACCAATGAACGATGCGGAGCTCTGAAGGTCAAGAGCATTGTTCTGTTTGGATCAAAAGGAAGGGGAATAATAACAAGTGAGAAAACGCATAAATGAACCAATAGAAGATCGGAAGTGTGGGAAAGGCAAACCTGATGGCCGGCGGCAGCGACGCAGACGATCATCTTCTCCGATTGACGAAGATGTCTATGATTTTCTCTTTTCAATGGCGACGAATGTTTCAGTACCGGATTCAAAAATTTTGGATATTGTTTCCTAACGAAATTTCCAATTATTTAACCTTTTTTAATAAACTATTATTCAATCCAAATAGTTTAGATGTTCGATTGATGGTTATTTTACCAAAATAAAGTAAACTATATGACATATTAATAAATGACTTTAACATATTCTAAATATCGGAATCTACAAAAAGAGAACACGGATTGTTATAAATTTGTGATCCATCTGATAAAATTATAGAAAAGAAAAAAAAACATGCGAATATTTTGGATACGTAAATCTACAAACAACATAAGTTGATGAAAAAAAACTAACTCTAGTATATACTATTAAACTATGAATATGATATACACTGGCATTATTTGGTAATAATGAGAGTTAGTTTGGTAACATTAAATATAATATTTCGTAATAAAAAAATAGAGACACTCACCTCACACGTTCGATAATAGGTATTTGAAAAGGAATATTAAAATATGATATTTTAATAGAATAATAGTTTAGTATAATACTGTAATTCAAGCAAATTAAGAATATGACACGTGGTGTATATGGCATTAATGGGCCCGCATAAGGTGGCCCGATTTCCAGGCGGAGGTCCAGTAGCCAAAATCGTGTTTCATGTTTTTTACCCCCTCATATTATGTCATGTTTTAAGTTTCGACCCCATTGTTTCAGATAGTGCTCATCACTCCCCATCACCAAACCAACTCGGTAGAGTAAAACCAAATATGTACGTAGATGACAAAAAAAAATACGTACTTTGTTGGTGAAATCAAACTATCGTCACATGATCTCGATATAGAATTGTAAGTGATGTTATAGTAAATTGTGACCGAATATTTTTTTTTTTGGTAACCGAGTATCTTTTACAAATATTCATACTAATCTCGGGATTGTAGATCACCTATTTAATTTGAAATATATGTCATCTTTCTAAATTTTAAATTCAAATTCGAAGTATAACAAACGTTTTGCATCTATTTTTCAGCGGTTGAATTATGCAAGTTTAGGTGATGGAATGTCAAATACATTTTTATTTATTTATGATTTGTAATCACGACGAGTAAGTGTGTTTTTGTGTGTATATATATATATATGGTCTGGTCATTAGTAGATCGATATTCATAGTCGAAACGAAATCTTACCATAATTGCCGAACCCACAAATAAAAAATAAAAAGAAAATAAAAGAGTGGAAGGTGAACCAAATCCCACGTCTGCCCAAATCTCATATCCAACTGTTTTTTTCCTGTCAAATATGTCATATCGTCATTTCATACACAATTCCTATAATAAGTGATATTATATATATATATATATATAAGTAAATGGTTTTGGTAATAAATAACGCAGATTCATTCAGTGTGCCGTAAGAATATTTATTTAGGTTTGATGGTTACATGATCATGCGCTTCAATTTTTCAACCTACCCTTCTAGAATCCCATTTCTTTTTCTCTCTCTCTCTTTATTCTTCTTTCGTGTTTATATATAAGTATATATATATACATATATATACTTCTCTCTCACACACATAAAGATACACATTGTGGAAGCCCTTTTTGCCCCACCATGCCCAACTAACCAAATTTCACTATACTCAAATTTCCGTTTTTGTATCCCACGTACCTATTAGATACTATCCATACACATACACATACATATATAGACACACACACATTGTATTATATGCATGGCTATCTGATGTATACACATAACTTTGAGATAGAGATCATATATGGTGGAGCATTATATTTATTATTTGAAATCGGTAAAACGTAAAACGGGTTTTATTTTATGGTCACATATTCACGTACGATAAATACATTAGAAAATGTGTGTTTTTTCTTTGCGCAGATATCGTAAATAAATTATCAAATTAAATTTGTATAGTGGAGATATCATAATAAATTAGTCGATCTAAAGATCTGTGCTGACATGTTATTTTATCAGCAGAGGATTATAAATATTATCTGCAAAATAACATATTGTTTATTAAGAATTCGAATACATTATTGACATTTGGATTCTCCATGGTTCCAAATTGCGTTCATCGGCCGTCTTAGATCGGCTGCAAAATATAATTTAATTTGAACTTAGTTCCATCTTACGATATCATGATGAGAAATCAAACTTAGATATGCAAACATATATGATAACTTAAATGTTGTTCATATAACACAACAGGATTACACAAAAACTTTTTTGGTTTCCGATCAATATTCCAATTAATAATGAATCAGGGTTGGTTAGAGATTGTCAATAATAATAATAATAATAATAATAATCAAGTTTCTAGAAGACATTTAATTTTAAGGGTTTTTTTAATTGTCTATGACGCATCTGTTGTTTTGGTGGATGTTTTTTTTTATTATTTAATTCCTTGTTAAGCTTCCTGTCATTTGCCATACTTTAAAAATCAAGAAGCAGTAGTCATGATCAATGGCTAATATATATATATTAGCTAAGTAATGAGGACAGTGGGACATGCATATATATATATATATATATATATATATGTGGATAAAATTAAAACTAATGAGCATATAATTAAGGGAGTCAATTAGGCGGGAGGCCTTTGGTTGACCAACGCCAACATTGCATACTACACTCCTTAACTTTACACCTACCGGCACTCTTGCCCTTTCCTTAATTATTGCAATTCTCTGTTTTTAACATTTCCCTACTTTATTATTACTCATTTTTATTTGGAAAAGTTGTCATCTTTTTATATGGATTAATTAATATTATATACACACAAACACCAAAACCTGGGTTTTTTTTTGCTATAGAAAAAGATATTGTCCACGTAATTAAGGGAAAAAGAAAAAGATGATGACTTTGAAGCTAGGGAATTTAATGCCATGTCAATATATCACTTGTATGATATGATCCAAAAATGAAAGGCCACCATACACTCCTTCAAACCCTTCCCACCAACTCACAATCTAGAAGCTAGAATCCCAATCTCTCTCTCTCTCTCTCTCTCTCTCCCTATATAGACACTATATAAACTATAAAGGGAAGGCTTTTAACCATTCAAAACCCAAACACAAAGACACAACCCTAGTGCTTCAGTGTTCCTCCCCCCAGCCCAAGAAACAGCGAAAACCCCTTTTTATGTCCACTCCGGTATAAGTGGATAAAACCCGCATATATAGAGGGGGAAATCAATCGACCGATTAATGGGAAGATCACCGTGCTGTGAGAAGGCACACACCAACAAAGGGGCTTGGACGAAGGAAGAAGACGAGAGACTGGTATCTTACATACAAGCCCACGGCGAAGGCTGCTGGAGATCACTTCCAAAAGCCGCCGGCCTCCTCCGCTGCGGCAAAAGCTGCCGCCTCCGGTGGATCAATTACCTCAGGCCCGACCTCAAGAGAGGCAAATTCTCCGACGAAGAAGACGAACTCATCATCAAGCTCCACAGCCTCCTCGGCAACAAGTCTCTCCCCTTTTCTCTCCTCTTTCTTTTTATATAATCCAGTTAGGGTTTCTCAAATATAGCGAAAGTCCTCATCTTTGCCCTTTACATTGATTTCTTCTCAGGTGGTCGCTCATAGCGGGAAGATTACCAGGAAGAACTGATAACGAGATAAAGAATTATTGGAACACCCACATAAGAAGAAAGCTCCTTAGCAGAGGCATCGATCCAGCCACTCACAGACCTCTCCATGAATCAGCTTCTCAAGATCCGAAACCAACCCAAGATTCTACCGACAAAAACACCATAATCTCCTTCTCTTCTTCTCCTCAGAAGCCAGAGGAAAACCCAAAGGGTTTGGCGATCACGTGCAAAGAGGGTAAGCTTGATCAAGAAACTTCCCCAGGCTTGGACCTCGAGCTCAGCATTAGTCTTCCCGACCATTCTCGTCATCAAGGCTCAAAAAACGGAGGAAATGATGAGAGGAGAACGACGCGCTGTTTCGCTTGCAGCTTGGGGGTAACCACAAACGGCACGATGTGCGGCTGCGGGAGAGCGAGATGCGAAGTATTCGGAGCCGGGAACAGCAGCGGTGGCGGCAGCAACGATGTCATCGTTAGCCCCGGATACGATTTTTTAGGTCTCGCCAACAATAGGAGTAGTATTTTGGATTTCAGGACCTTGGAAATGAAGTAACTGAATCAATGTGGTTTTTTGTGTAGAGAAATTTGATTAACGTGGTTTAGGGTTTAGAGAAATTTGATTAACGTAGAAATTGTAACTAGTGAGCGGGATTGCGCACAATTTATATATATTCATAATCTGAGTTTGGAAATGCTGCCAAACCCTTTTCAGATCATCACATATTCATATTTAAATCATATAGAACGTGTTTTATATCCCTCATAACCATGTACACATTGCTATAAATACATGATGTGTGGTGTTTGTAGAGGCTATTGTTATCATGAAACTTATTTAAATGGATTTAAAAAAAAAAACTTGTCGAAATTTTTTTTTGGCACTGACCATTTCAAAGATTCCATGTAAAGTATATCTCCATGCATACGCACATCACGCGAATAATATCTTAATATATAGTTTTATTGATTACTGCTGGGTGTGGAATTATGTGAAATTATACCTACACTGAACCCTAAATAATTGATATGTATATATATATATATATATATAATATGGTCTGATGAATAAATGCGAACGTCAAATCAAACCATATGTGAGAGAACCAACCTCCCAATGGACCCCTTTTCTCTACCGAACTCAATTTATTTCTTTGTACCAACCTACCTACCTGCTAATGTTAATCTTTGTCCTCTTGCACATACATACATACATACACACACACATATATATATATATATATATATATTGGATATGAAGTAGAAATAGAAAAACATGTGACATGAGGCGGAGGTCAAGGAGGACAAGGAGAAGGGGGAAAAAAACGAAGAGGACAAGTGAAGAAAGACAGAGACAGATCCACCTGCCACTTGCCCTTTCTGAAATAAAAAGGTTATTTAATTACAATGACTTTTTCAAGAGGTGTTAGGTAGAGCCAATAGAACCTTCCATTTAGATTTTTTTTTTTATTTACTTTGTGCCTTTTTTGTCTTTCCATATTTTCCCCCAAAAAGGAAATGACTAGTGAGTTTTTATTTATTTGTTTAAGAATCATCTTTAACTGTTTAAACGACAATGCATAAGGAGTATGGTATTGGTGCGGCCTTTTACATTTTCTCTTTATTTTATCATTAAAATGTTACAAACTAACGTTGTATATAAATCCACATAATGTGTATAATTTAGTCATTAGTACCCACCCCAAAAACAAAGTCTGAATATGAATGGGCCCAGCCCAAATACCAAAAGATGGGGCCTTCTCCAAGTAAAAGAAAATTGAATAGACAAAATGATGGGCTAATTTAAGCCCAATTGTTTTGGGCCATTGGAAAGCCTTTTATTCAAAGATTCTCTCTCTCTCTCTCTCTCTCTCTCTCTCTCTACAAAAAGATTTTGCTACACTGGTAAACAACGAAGGTCAAGAGGTTGAAAGAGGAAAAAAAAACAGGGGAAAATGGATACAACAGATGGAGACTATGGACTCTGTGTATGCTACACATTCGGAGTCTGAGGGATAATGAAACCGTATCTTGCGCTTCGGCTGATGGGCAAATGAACGTAAACCTCGTGAACTTCCTGCTTACACACATCACCTCTGTCTCGGTCCATGGCATAACACACGTATATAGTGTCTATCACGTTATCCATGACGTGTACGAAGAAGCCCAGAACCACAATCAGTAAGAACCAAGCCACAGCCGCTACCAAGTATGAATCGACCTCGTCCAGATCGCTCACCCCTTTCAGGATGCCCCATGCCTGTTTTTGCAGCATCACAACATCAAAAATTCATCGGAAATGATAAGGACAGGGGAACAGTTTCAGAACCCAAGAACATTGTCAAGAACCAAATCAGCTATGCATATGCTATATGAAATTCCAAGCTCGATCACATTCGGACATGGGGTTGATCTGATTTTTTTCAGGTATCTACCAAAAAGGAACGAACGAGCAGCCTGGATATGAGAATTCTATGTAAAGAGAGAAACAGAAATCTCCACCGATCATTGATTAATGAGAAGTGGCAATGCTGAGAACCAGAAGGATTTAGTTTACTTACAGCGACTGCATAAACGGCTGAAAGAACGAATATGATTCCAGCAAGCAAACGGGTAGAAACGGTCTCGACAAAGACAGCAGAAAGGAGATTCCTTCTCAGAAGCTCGTAAGTCAATTTCGCAGATGTGCAGTAGGCTTCGCCCGTAATGGCGGCGAAGTTGATGGTGAACTTGTTGAGATAATCGACAGCTGAAACCAACGTGTTTGCGCAGCATCGGAGAAGCATATTGATCATTCCTTGTGGATTCTCTTGTCTTGCATTTTCTGCAATGGCTCTAACCACCCGAACTATACATATGAGGATACCCGATAGACACACCGTGCCAAAGGATGGCCCAAATGCATTCCTACAAGGGGGGATCGAGACAGGGATAGTGAGTCATACCAGACACTGAGACCGGAGCATATCTTGATCCTTTACATACATAATCTTTGATAAAGTACACAAAAAAGGATAGGGATATAACAGAGAGAGATCCACAATCGAACAAGATGCTAATACTGAGAGAATCAAAGCCTTTTCCATAGAGATTTTGAGAAAAGAAAGATGGGAATCACCTCAAAGAGCTACGGATGGACTTTCTAAGCGTCGAGTCCTCCATGGAGAAATACCACTGAGAAATCGTTCCACTTATCACATAGACTTGCATTTCCACCATTACAGCCAGAGACCAAAGCATAGTGATAATGGCCAGTGCGAAATAAGCGGGAACCCACCCATCTTGCTTCCAGACACAAAGATATTCACCGTTGGATTCCTTCGGCACAACTTTCCCATTGAACCTCGAAAACAACAAGAACACGACGATGGGCGCGTAGTAGAGAACCAACCCGAGGGTCAACAATGGCAACACGAGAAAGAGACCCAAGTTCTTGGACAAAGCATCAGAAGCAACCCCGATTACTTGGATGGTCAGCTCAATTCTGTGCCAATTCGCTACGAAAATCCAGACAATGATCCCGATGACTAAGAAAATGAACACGAGAACGATAACTCGGTAGCCTAGAGGAAGGGCATCGCTACAAGAAGAGCTAACAGTACAAGCGACGAACCAGTAGACATTGAAGAAGGTTGGTAATACAACAAAGAAAGGTAAACAAGCATACACTATCTGCTTAGTGTAGTGTTTAAGCAAAAGCAGCACCAGAAAACAAAAGGGCACGCTCAGGATAAGGGTCACCACAAGGGTCCAGATTAAATCCTTCTCGAAGACCGCACCCGACGAAGAGTTTCGACCCGACGCGATACTCGAAATCCAGAACCCGCCAAAGAAACCCGTCAAGGTCGAATTTTTCACGCAGGAAGTAGAGCTGAAATCGTAGGTGTACGAAGATAAGTTACCGTAATCGGTATTCCTGTGGAAAATCGAGAAGATACCAAACCCAAAGGTGGAAGCGACGAGAAGATCGAAGAGAACTAGAAAGGGAATGTCCTTGAAAGGCCTGAGACCGAAATTGTAGGAGATCTGAAGGAACTGGGTCGGGTCGGGTTCCGGATCAGGTTGGCCTGGGGAATCGATAGCCGACGAAGAGGGTTTCGAGAGAAGAGGGTGAGTCGGAGAGGACGAGTCGTATACGGAGACGGGTTTGTTGGGGTCGCCGTCGGCGGCCGCCATGGTCGTTCAATAGAGAAATCTCTGTTTGCGGAGAGCGAGTAAAGTGAAGAAGAAGAAGAATCTTTTACTCCTTTTTGTTCTCTAGTGTATCGTCTGATGAGGCGGTGGGATGGGAACAGTGCCGACGAGCGTCCAAGCGGCAAGGCGAAGACGATGGAAGAAGGCAAATTAATTTAATTCCTAATACAACATTTTTTCAACCATTACAAAATAAAATAAAAACATATGTTTTCCAATTCATACCATATTTTGTATTAGATACGATAATATTATAATTTGATTAATACAAATATGGCACTTTGTATCGTTGGCTTGGAATGAATTTCGAGGGTGAAATTAGGAGAGATTATATTAGTACAAGTTCAACTATATGGTGTAAATGGCATTTATTCATTTTCCATTTTGTTTTAAAACGGCAGAGAAGACTAGTTGTATCCATTTTGGTTTCGATTCGGTTTGATTATAAATATGTTTTAAAAAAAATTGCAATCATTCTATTATTTGATGTCCAATTCGATCCGGTTAAATTCGGTTATATTGTTTGATTGGATTTCGGTTTTTATCAACAAAAATATTTATTTAAAAAAATGCCGTTTTGTTTGATTATTTTTTATTTGATTCGATCGTGAATTCGATTTTTTTTCGTTCAAATAAAATAATAATCCTTCGATTTTTTCTACATGGAATCGGATTCAATTATTAATGAATTATACATTATTGGATTGGAATGGATTGGATTAATCAAATTGATCATCTGATCCAAACTTTTGGACCGTGTGACTGTGGCTTTGGGCCCATTCTCAAACCGACCGTACCGTATTCATTTTTTATCAGCCGACAGAATTCGAACAAATTTCGGAATTTCGTTGGATTCGGCGAAAGCTCACATTGGGCCTATGAAAGCCCATTTTCAACTAGAAAAAGGCCTCATTGAGCCTCGTTAACACGTGTACATGCCACATTGGTTGGGCCGCGTGGAGTCCTATTTTAAGGTTTTATCATGGATTTAATAAAAATAGGGTGTTGAGTAATAATTATTATTATATCTACCGTATGAAAAGATTCCATCTTCCGACAGGCATGAACAGTAACAGAGTGGGTGGAGGGCAATATAGTCTTCCATGTAATTTTTTCAGTCGGTTTGTGTGTTCTCTGAAATGTGTCCGGACAGCAAGAGGCCAAAAAGGCAGCTCCAAAATGATTGCGCGACGAAATGGGAATCTGAATTATTCTTCCTCATAATTTGTTTTAAAAAAAAAATAAGAAAATTGATTTTATCCTCTCTCTTTTTTTTTCTTCCAAACATTTGGTTGGATTTCTAACCGAAACGAGACCAAAGAAGAAAGAGGCGAATTAATCGTATATGCAGCAACTGTTGATCAAAGTAAAACTTTAAACTTTCATTAGTAACCTCAAATTTCTTAATTAAAAATCATACAGTCACGCGTTTGAATATTGGACAATTCACCAATATAAAAAAACCCTCAAATTCTGAAATTCTACATTTGTCAAATATTTGAATTGTTTTTGTTTTATAAGTTTTATGCTATTTGTATTTTATGTAAGTAAGAAAACTACTTCCAGATTTATTATATATCATACGTTGATTTACAAAAAAACGTTTATAACATCTTCACAACATAAAAATTTATAATCCGAATCATTTGCACAATATAATTAGAGAATTTCATATAATTTGATATAAGAACTTGATTTTGATAATATATTCATGAATAGATCGATTGTAAAATTAACATGAAGATGGTAAATAATGGGAACAAAGCTGATGGTTGGTGGAAGAAGTCAAGGGGACAAATGGAGCAGAAGAAAATGACAAAATGGTCCCTCCTTTTTGAACTATGAACAAAGCATGCAATGCATTTCTGCCCCTCCCAAATTAACATTCCCTCTTTGCATGTTTGATGTGTTCCTTTAAAGTTATTTCTAGCTATATAACTGCATTTTTTTTGTCTTTTATATATATATATATATATATATATATATATATATACACACACATAAAAAGAATATATTATAGAAAAAAATCATGCATGGAAACTCATGCTCTATTGTCATAATTTCAAGCAGATGTGGAGATATGATGTTTCTTCTTCTTCTTCCTCCCCAAACTCCAAATGTTTTTTTATTATTATTTTATTCTAATTATTGAAAAGACAAACTAATCATGATGTATAATGAATGATAGGTATAACAAATCAATAGACTCGATAATTGCTAAAATTATGTGTAGATTAAGTTATCAGGGAAAAATTCTAATTATATATTGGCTTTGTATTTTGACATAATATTAGCATCAGCAAATCACCTAGTCTATCTCATTTAGCAACAACAACACTGATAATAATATACTTTTTTTTATAATTTAATTCGAAAATTCAGTAAAACTCTAACTCAACTACATCTTCTATAGAATCGAAGAAATACGGGTGAATATTTTTCACTTGAATTTGAACTTGAGGTAAAAACACATTTTACATGTTTTTTTACCATTAAACCATCGGATTATATGGTCTTTTCGTTGTATATATACGGGTGAATATCTCTTTGTTGTATATATATATGTACTTGTACGCAATATTATTATACCTCGAATTCTGTATTTATACCTTGTTTGCACACTTCAAAAGCATTTCTGTATTGCTGCTGCTGCTTATAAGTGTTTATTGCATATGCTTCCTTTGTATGCAGTGACAAAATAGATACCAACAATTTCATCACATTATCTCATTCTGTCCTTCTCTCTTGTTCTTCTTCCTTGTCCAACCTACTCATCGGTTTTAATTTGCAAATCGAACATGAAAAATCTAAATGTTACTCTTTATATATTTATATAAGATAGAAAAATAAATAAAATCATGGTTTTTTATTTGAGGGAAAATAAAATGGTGAAAGAGTCATAGATTGGGGCATTTTGATAATAAAAAAGCAGCTTCACTCTTATTGTAAAAAAAAGCAACCACGCCCGTTCTCCTCTCAATGATAGCCCTCTACTTTGTAATTATTCTCCCTTGTTTTTTTTATACACATAATGATTATAAGGACATAATATACATGTGTATTTATATGGATAAATTCATTCGAGACATTTCATTTTTGTTAGGTTTCCTTATTATGCCAATAAGGATTATAAGGACAAAGTTAATTTAAAAAAATGGTGTGTTTTTTTTTTTGATAAGTCGAATTTCCCAGACCCAAAAGCCCGGACTAATCCCGGCCCACGGATGCGAGCCTGCAACATACACGTGGGTGTAAATCGTTCGAAACCGGCAGACGATGAGAAATCTCCATACTTTTGGTGTTGAACTTACGACCTCGCTTGGGGAAGTGAATTCTCAAACCAACAGAGTTGGGGGATTCCCCAAAAAAATGGCGTGTTAGTGGTAACATTAAGAAAAGATTGGGAAATTTTAAAACGTGCCTCACACCGCTAACCATCCGATTATATACTTAATCGTCTAAGCAAAAAATTATCTTCTTTAATTGTTTAGTTTTAGTTTATGATTAAGGAAAGGCCATAAATTAAAATGACCCCCTTCCATAAAAATGCAGCGAGAATAGTGCCAAAAAAAAAAAAAAAAAAAGAA